GCCCACTGCCCCGCCCCCTCACGGAGTAGCCATCGTCGTAAGCGTAGTAGGGGTCATCGTAGCCGCCTCGGTAGTCATGGTAATCGTAACCATAGTAATCATCATAGTACTCCTCGTAACCGTAGTAATCGGGCGGGTAGGCGTATCCGCCCCGCCCACCACGCCCGCGGCCACGCCCCGGAGGCGGCATGCGGGGGGGAGGGGAGTAATAATAGTCATCATACCTGCACAGGTGGAGACAGACACACCGTCAGCATCCACTTAAATCTCTGAGCTAAACCTGACAAATCCTGCCTCCTCGTTTGTAAAAACAGTATACAACCCTCATAATGCATTAAAAATCTGTATACAATTTTCATATTCCAGACCCTAACCCGAAGAATCTTTGATTTCTAAAACAGTTTTAACTAATATTTTTCGACTAAAGCCATATTGTATCGGATCATCAACTTCTCATTGATGAGTAAATGTAGAAAATTTTTTTTTTTAATTTTGAATATTGGCATGTCAATGTGTGTTACCAAAAATAATGAGAAATTCCTTGAAATTTCAAATTACGCATGAGCCACGTCAAAAAAACTATGATGCAATATATCTATATATATATATATATTTCTTTTCAATATTGATGAAAAATGTTATTTGAGTAAATCCCTGTATGAAATTTATAAGAACATATAATCTCAGGATTACCAGTATTAACACCATTGGAATGAATGGAATTTAATTAAATTCATTTGAATTTATTAATCATGATTGCTCAAAACAGTCCAAATTTATAAATCCTATAAAACCTACATATTTATTTCTGACAAAATAACAAATATAGTTTTCAAACAAAATACATTCATGTTACCTGCATAAACTTTTACTCTCAAATGAAAAAGTGATCAGTTTTTCATGCTGCAATGGTTGGTCATATTCATGTTCATCAACAAAATTCAGTCCCAAAAGTATGCGAGATATAAGGAAAAGGACAAATTGTATATATTTTTGACACCAATATAACCTCATAAATAATTTTACAGAAAGTATTTCTGCCACCTAATGCCTGGGTCAAAATGACCAGAACATAGAATGTTTAACATTTTTTAATTTAAAATCAGTTAATTGAAACATAATTGTAAAAAATAAATGATGTGCATTTTGAGGGTCTTAAAGCATTTGCGAGTTTCATTCCCTTACTAAAAGCCCCAAAACAAACACAAACGCATAATGAGCATGCATCTCTTCCGGGTCAAAGCAGACCTGAATGCGTTCTGAGGTTAGGGTTGTGTTACAGTGTTTATAATCGTCTCACCCTGTGCTTCTGCTGGTCTGTCGGGCAGCTTGTCGTTCTTTCCTCTTCTTATCTGGAGGTTTGGCCAGCACGATCTCGATCTGCTCACCGCCCAGCTGCTTCCCGTTCATCTCCTGCATCGCCTGCAGACACACGAGGAGCCCATCAGCACGAGCTCACGGGAATCCTAAGCTGTGCTAAGTGAAGTAAATACACAGCCAGACACTGAGGGGGCTTCCTCTTTTGGCTGATGAATATTTAATTGTTATTCATGACAAAGTGTGCATGCAGACCTACGGCTGTTTATGATGTCCTAATGATGCACAAACACTGATGTCATCACGTCTATCCCTACTGAAACAGGAAGTGACATCATCGGGCCCTTTCTAAAGCATGACAGCAATACAAATACATATGTTTGGGCATTTAAAATGAGTTGAAAACTTCTCTTAAAGCGACTGAAAAAGAAGAGCGCCTTAAAAATCTCTTAAATAAAGATGAACCAAGTTACGTTTTATTTGTTATAATTTGCTTTTATATTTATTATTTGTAAATATATATTTTTTTCTTTTTTAATGCACGCTGCTTGGGTTTATCACGGCAGTGTTTAAAAATTATATTGCCCGTTTGTTATTTTAACAGATTTAATGAAACTCTTAAAAAAAGCCCACTGATTAAAATACCTTTAGCAAAAAAAAGGAGAAAAAAAAGGAAAAAGAAAAGCCAATGCTACCATAACAAAATCAAGCAATAATTTAGATTTTTTTAAAAAACCCTCACATTTATGAAGGGGGAAAAATAACTATAAAGATACAGTTTTAAAAATCGTTCTCAATATTAAAGCGTCCACACCACAACTATAACGATAAAGGCACAGAGAAACGATATCGCTGGAATCACTTTTTTTCCAGCTGATGAACGATACAAACATTGACAGCCAATCAGAATCCATCCTGCTGTAACGAGCTGGAGCATTTCAAGCGACGGTGTGGACGCTAACATCGTTATCTTTATAGTTATCGTCCTTGGTGAGAACGGAGCTTAGATCTATAAACCTGTTACTCATTTCGGCACCATCTTCATTTCTTTTTTATGTTTACTTAATAGTCGCTGCAGAAATAATTAAATCAGTACTCAAACTGTACGTATGCATCTCAGAAAGTTCGGTGACAGGGTTGCATGTGCAATAACACATACAGTAAGTGTGTGAGAATCTTAATGAAAAGGAGAGGTTTGACCTTGACTGCGGCGTCTCGCTCCTCGAAGTGAACGAAGGCGTAGTCCTTCAGCTTCTTGACGCGCTCCAGTTTGCCGAACTGAGAGAAGGTGTTCTCCAGCAGCTCCTCTGTGACCGGCGCGGCCAGCTTACGCACAAACAGCACCTTCACCTGACGAGACACAGCACATCGTCACACATCACACTACATACAGAGAGAGCTGTGCATGCTCACACACTGACCTTGGCCATGACCTCGGGGTCAGGCTCCGCGACGGGGTCGGCCCACTCCACAGTCACAGGGTTCCCCCACACCTTCACCTTCCCGCTCATGAGCCTGCGCCGCGCCTGAGCCGCCGACTTATGATCCTCATACTCCAGAAAACAGAAGCCGCGGTTCTTCCTTTCAAACAAAATACATTCATGTTACCTGCATAAACTTTTACTCTCAAATGAAAAAGTGATCAGTTTTTCATGCTGCAATGGTTGGTCATATTCATGTTCATCAACAAAATTCAGTCCCAAAAGTATGCGAGATATAAGGAAAAGGACAAATTGTATATATTTTTGACACCAATATAACCTCATAAATAATTTTACAGAAAGTATTTCTGCCACCTAATGCCTGGGTCAAAATGACCAGAACATAGAATGTTTAACATTTTTTAATTTAAAATCAGTTAATTGAAACATAATTGTAAAAAATAAATGATGTGCATTTTGAGGGTCTTAAAGCATTTGCGAGTTTCATTCCCTTACTAAAAGCCCCAAAACAAACACAAACGCATAATGAGCATGCATCTCTTCCGGGTCAAAGCAGACCTGAATGCGTTCTGAGGTTAGGGTTGTGTTACAGTGTTTATAATCGTCTCACCCTGTGCTTCTGCTGGTCTGTCGGGCAGCTTGTCGTTCTTTCCTCTTCTTATCTGGAGGTTTGGCCAGCACGATCTCGATCTGCTCACCGCCCAGCTGCTTCCCGTTCATCTCCTGCATCGCCTGCAGACACACGAGGAGCCCATCAGCACGAGCTCACGGGAATCCTAAGCTGTGCTAAGTGAAGTAAATACACAGCCAGACACTGAGGGGGCTTCCTCTTTTGGCTGATGAATATTTAATTGTTATTCATGACAAAGTGTGCATGCAGACCTACGGCTGTTTATGATGTCCTAATGATGCACAAACACTGATGTCATCACGTCTATCCCTACTGAAACAGGAAGTGACATCATCGGGCCCTTTCTAAAGCATGACAGCAATACAAATACATATGTTTGGGCATTTAAAATGAGTTGAAAACTTCTCTTAAAGCGACTGAAAAAGAAGAGCGCCTTAAAAATCTCTTAAATAAAGATGAACCAAGTTACGTTTTATTTGTTATAATTTGCTTTTATATTTATTATTTGTAAATATATATTTTTTTCTTTTTTAATGCACGCTGCTTGGGTTTATCACGGCAGTGTTTAAAAATTATATTGCCCGTTTGTTATTTTAACAGATTTAATGAAACTCTTAAAAAAAGCCCACTGATTAAAATACCTTTAGCAAAAAAAAGGAGAAAAAAAAGGAAAAAGAAAAGCCAATGCTACCATAACAAAATCAAGCAATAATTTAGATTTTTTTAAAAAACCCTCACATTTATGAAGGGGGAAAAATAACTATAAAGATACAGTTTTAAAAATCGTTCTCAATATTAAAGCGTCCACACCACAACTATAACGATAAAGGCACAGAGAAACGATATCGCTGGAATCACTTTTTTTCCAGCTGATGAACGATACAAACATTGACAGCCAATCAGAATCCATCCTGCTGTAACGAGCTGGAGCATTTCAAGCGACGGTGTGGACGCTAACATCGTTATCTTTATAGTTATCGTCCTTGGTGAGAACGGAGCTTAGATCTATAAACCTGTTACTCATTTCGGCACCATCTTCATTTCTTTTTTATGTTTACTTAATAGTCGCTGCAGAAATAATTAAATCAGTACTCAAACTGTACGTATGCATCTCAGAAAGTTCGGTGACAGGGTTGCATGTGCAATAACACATACAGTAAGTGTGTGAGAATCTTAATGAAAAGGAGAGGTTTGACCTTGACTGCGGCGTCTCGCTCCTCGAAGTGAACGAAGGCGTAGTCCTTCAGCTTCTTGACGCGCTCCAGTTTGCCGAACTGAGAGAAGGTGTTCTCCAGCAGCTCCTCTGTGACCGGCGCGGCCAGCTTACGCACAAACAGCACCTTCACCTGACGAGACACAGCACATCGTCACACATCACACTACATACAGAGAGAGCTGTGCATGCTCACACACTGACCTTGGCCATGACCTCGGGGTCAGGCTCCGCGACGGGGTCGGCCCACTCCACAGTCACAGGGTTCCCCCACACCTTCACCTTCCCGCTCATGAGCCTGCGCCGCGCCTGAGCCGCCGACTTATGATCCTCATACTCCAGAAAACAGAAGCCGCGGTTCTTCCTCTTATCATCCGGCTGCGTGTACAGAATGACCTCCTGCAGACCCTCTGAAACACACACAGACACACACCATTAACACACACACACCATTAACACACACACACACACACAATTAACACACATTATCTTACAAGCCCTGAACCCATTAGATTTGTGTGTACTATAGGTCTGTGATAGAAAAAAACTAACAAATATTACCAATATAACCTCATAAATAATTTTACAGAAAGTATTTCTGCCACCTAATGCCTGGGTCAAAATGACCAGAACATAGAATGTTTAACATTTTTTAATTTAAAATCAGTTAATTGAAACATAATTGTAAAAAATAAATGATGTGCATTTTGAGGGTCTTAAAGCATTTGCGAGTTTCATTCCCTTACTAAAAGCCCCAAAACAAACACAAACGCATAATGAGCATGCATCTCTTCCGGGTCAAAGCAGACCTGAATGCGTTCTGAGGTTAGGGTTGTGTTACAGTGTTTATAATCGTCTCACCCTGTGCTTCTGCTGGTCTGTCGGGCAGCTTGTCGTTCTTTCCTCTTCTTATCTGGAGGTTTGGCCAGCACGATCTCGATCTGCTCACCGCCCAGCTGCTTCCCGTTCATCTCCTGCATCGCCTGCAGACACACACACACACAGACTATTATTATACTATATTATTTACTATAACCATTACTGATTTCAGCATAATCTTCATTATTTTTTATTTTATTTAATGGTCACTGCAGAAATAATGAAATTTGTACTCAAATCTATAATTATGCATGTCAAACATTTTGGTAACAGAGTTGCATGCACACTGTAAAATAAGGCTAGTTTGTGAAAATCAACACTTTCTCACTAATTTGATGAAAACATGTTTTTTTAGAGGTTTGTAAGTGTGCAGGCGCTTCACCTTGACTGCGGCGTCTCGCTCCTCGAAGTGAACGAAGGCGTAGTCCTTCAGCTTCTTGACGCGCTCCAGTTTGCCGAACTGAGAGAAGGTGTTCTCCAGCAGCTCCTCTGTGACCGGCGCGGCCGGCTTACGCTTCTTGTGGATTCTTTTCTCCACTTCTGCAAAAAAAACAAAAAAAAAAACAGACAAAAGTAAAACAAAAAGCTGAAACGAAGCTCTAGTCGACAGCTATTATTTACAAGCGAGTCCCTATGCCACTAGCACTGAGAGAGAGAGAGACGATGAGAACGGAGGACTGCGGGAAGGACGACATCTTTCTGGAAGGCCATTTCATGATTTGAATGTCCTTTCACGCACACGCTTGCTCGGAAGTATCAGTGTCTTCTTTAAAATGCTCATGGTGGAGTTTAAAACAAGGAGGATGTGGGAATAAAAGTGTTGTGTCTGTTTAAGACAAGCGTCCCGCCGGGGCCACGGACAGAATCTACAGGGCTACTGGAGGATAGAAAAGTCAAACAAACACAGCTGGCCAATCACGGTCTAGTTTCTCAGGACGAGGGCGGGCTGCGCGTCTACTTCCACTGCTGGCCGTAGGAGTCCTGGGAGAACTCGAGCGAGTCGTTGCTGTAGCCGTAGCCGGCGGCGTAGTCGGAGCCCAGGGGCTGCTGGGCAATGGGCTGCGAGCCCCAGTTTTGCTGGTTGGTCTGACGGCGTTTGGAGTCCGGCTGGTTAAACACGTCTGCCTTCCTCTTCCCGCCCACGTTTCCGCCGCGGTT